ATTCCATGTGATGGCCATAAAAGTGATTAAAAAACTAAAGAGACAGTGTAAAATTAAAAAAAGTCAAATCAAATTATTTTTTTTTTTTTTCAAATCACCCCGTTCCACCATGCTTGCGCATACAATGGTGAATACACACGTCGGTTCCACGCGCATACATAAATTGCAATTGCACCACACATGTGAGGTATCACCAAAAACATCAGAAAGAGAGTAATAATTCTAGCACCAGACCTTCTGGGTAACTCTAAACTGGTAACCTATAAAGGCTTTTTGTTTTTTTTGTTCCTTTTTGTGCTGTGTGGTGAGCATAAAAACACACCTAACATGTCACGTTTTAAATTGCGCACGCTCATGAAACAGCTACAAACTATGGTACGCTATGCTTTAAGCATAGCGTACCATAGTTTGTAGCTGTTTCATGAGCGTGCGCAATTTAAAACGTGACATGTTAGGTGTGTTTTTATGCTCGCCACACAGCACAAAAAGGAACAAAATCTGTGTATTGCTTTAAACTGGACAAATACAGTATATCTTCCATCCTGGACACAACCCACTGTTTTTCTTGGCTTACTGTCTCTATAGATAGATAGATAGATAGATATATATATATATATAATGGTTTGTGGTTCTAAGTAATTTTCTAGCAACATATTTTTACATGTAGGGGAGGAATATCAGAATTGGCCTGGACTGCAAGTGGCCAATCACCACTGGTTTTTTTTTTATTTTTTTGCTAAATGAAAAAATACTGAACGTTTTCTTAGTTTCTGTTATAACATTTTGCAAACAAAAAATCTTTCTTCATAAATTTAGGCCAAAATGTAGTTTGCTACATTTCTTTGGCAAAAATAATCCATATACATAAGTAGTGTGTGGAAGTAGGTTATAGCGTAAAACTATGGTATATACCGTATATTTGAAAATTGATCAGTCCTGATGTATTGACTACCTATCTCATATCTTGAGGCCATAAAATGCCAGGGCAGTACAAATACCCCTCAAATGACCCCTTTTTGGAAAGTAGACCATCCAAGGTATTAAGTAAGACAAGTTCTTTGATGTTGTTGTGATTTTTTTTTTTCACAATTTTTGGTGAATCTGGGTGACTTCCAATCTATCCCCCAACCGCTGACACTCTCCGCTGGCTCACCTGAGGATTGTGCATCCTGACAGCTAAGTTCCTTTCACGTGGAACGGTCAGGGCTGGTGGGCAAGGCCGGCTGGTCTTGGGTATTGGCTGGTTCCATCTGGGCAGCGCTTGTGGACACCGTCCCTCCAGCGACATCTGCAGGCATACGGTGGATGGTGATGGGCAACTCTTCTCCTGTGCAAGGGTCCGCCATTGGAGTGGGACTCGACCCCACTCTGCGATTCAGGCATCAGACTTCCTCTGGCTTTCTGATTCTGGCCTTCTGGTCTCTCGGTACACAGTCTCATCAGTTAGACCAAACTGTATAAGCGGGGAGCCAGATCACTGGGCAACAGCTAGTTAAGTGGCTTTCCAAAGTGCCCGCACCTGGCCCAGGCTTTGATCAGAGCAGTTAGATTCCTGCATTTAGGACAGATAAGGTAAAGTCTCTCCATCCCTCTGACAAGCCCTAGACCGACACATCCGTGATGTCCCAAGCAAATGCCAATGTCTATCAGGGTGATCTCTGGCAAGACTTTCGGGTACAGCGGTAATGCATCCTCCACTTGCTCCTTTCACACTCTCTCTCCATGTGGTGGATGTAGAGGGTGGTTTTTAGGGCAGGCGTATGGGCATGATCTTGGGCATGAGTGTGGGCATGGCCACGCCCCTTCTCAATTCTTTGGAGCCAGCCAGTCTGCGAGTGGGAATCTTCCTGCATTAGTGGTAACCCCTGTTGTTCCTGGCAGGAGCCGAGTGACTGGCCAGGAACATCAATTTGCAGAAACTGTAATAACTATGATCCATAGCAGTTGCCACGGGTAGCAGCGGGGCACGAAAGCACCCCCCCTTGCCCCCACTGAACATGTTAGCACAAATAAAGTTTAGTTTATAGGCAAGAACATTTGAAGCTTAGTCTTTTGTTGGGGCCACCTTCTTGAGCAGCAAAAAGGCATTTGCTACTTGGAGAGCCATCCCGTTTACTCCGGGCAACGGTGGGGGTAACAGCAAAGCACATTGTTCTGATTTTTGCAGGTTAATCAAAGCGTAGTCCCTTCACCAGCCACTTGTTGAGCAGCAGGGAGATCTTTAGGTAAGCCCGGCATGGTTGCCAAGGGCGACAGCAGCAACATCAACTCTTTCTTGGCTCGTTGGTTGCTAGGAGTAATGGCAGGCAGGTTGTTATAGACGATCCTCCTAAGCACTACCCCCTTAGGAGTCGCTAGAAGATTTTGGGCCCCCTATAGTCCTGCACGGCCAGGCATCACACATCTTCGCAAAAGCTTGCATCCAAAGTCAGAAATCAGTTCTCGAGCTTTGGTTTTGTTGTTTTATTTAGGGGATTTGAACTGATATAGGGTTAGGGGTGTACAGGATGCCCAAGGGTATTGATAAACTGAGGACAACTTCCTGGAACTATTTACACGTTTTCTCCGCAACACCGTCTCAGTTGGAGAGCTAGCCAGTGTCTCCTTAGTGTATCATCCCAGACCCTAGATGAACTTCTCCTATTTACCCAACAATCTTGAGGTATCCCTGAACAGGGGATCTGGTTACTGTCACGTTAAGATGACCAGTCACTGGCAGGTGGCTAATCTGGTTTTCCACCAGAGTGCTTCTTCCCCTATCCAGACAGGGGGTGTATGTGTACTCACTCAGATCCTCTCCTGTACTGCTTGTGAGTTGGTGGCTGCTACCAGACCTATCAGCTGGGCCACTCCTTCCCTGCCATACAGGTGGTCCTCTCTAAGGGGGCAGTGAGCTTTGAGCTTTCCTCCATTTCAGCTCCAGGCCTGCAGGTAGGCCCCATCCCACTGGGCCTCCTCGCAGCCTCCTTTCTTCAGCCTCACATCCTCTTCTCGGTTTTCCACCTTCCATCTCTCCGGCTACTGAGCAGGCTCCAACACTTTTAAAGGTGCCAGCCCCTTGACAACCTCTTGCTGGAGATTGTGCAAAAGTGCAACCAGCCACTCCTCAGATCCATCCACTGCCTCTAAGGCCTTCCTCCAAAAGCAGGGGGAAATTCCAGAGAGGTTGGCCTACAGGGACCTCCCATCCCTGACCACAATTTGACCCCTCTCTGGCTATTACACCTGGGCCACTGCTCAGCCCCTGTCATGTACCTGATTGGAGACTGAAATGATGAGGTCGGCCTCACTTGTGTCACTAGCCCTGACACCCCACTGGAAGAGGAACAGAGGGTGTCTAGGGACCAGGGGGACAAGAGCGCCAGCATATGTTGTTTGCAGCTCTTGCAGCTGGAGACTTTGGAAGACTGATGAACTTCCGATTCAGGATCAGTAGTGATATGCAGAGCTGGTATGGTAGATCGCCAGGTGTGCATCAGAGCAAGGCAGGAAGCTGGGATGGGAGACAGGAGCAATGTCATAGGAATAGCCGGGGTCATCAACGAGCGGACAGCGAGGTACCAAATCATAATCAAGCCAAAGTCAGGAGCAGAGCCGAAGTCAGGAAGAAGTATCAAACAGGAGAGTAATCAGAGTCAGGTCAGGAACAAGCTGGGTCAGCAACAAGGAAATCACATAGGAACGAGCAGGAAATGGGGAACAGCTGAAGACCAGTCAGCACTCAGCACAGGCAGAGGCACCTTTTAAATAGTCCGTCTGGCGCCGATCTTCACTCGATCGCGCATTTCTTTGCACATGCGCACTTCTATTTGCCAATCGTCTCACCGGGATTCCCTTACAGCCCGTCTCTAACCATTGGAGTCCAGCTCCCCCTAGCTAAACTAGGAGGTTGATACATTTACATACTGTCACCAGTGCAGCAGCATCATATGACTGGCTTTGGATCAGGGATACTGACCTGATAACAGTATGTAAAAAAAAAAAAATGTAATTATTTTTTATTCAATTTTTAAAATTATTTTCTTTTTTTTTTTTTTACAATTTTTTTTATTTACTATTTTGTTACATACTGATATCATAGTAGTTCAGTGTCACCATTGTGACACTGTACTATTCAAGGGGGGTTATCATGGTTTTTTTTGTTTTACAATGTGATTGCTTGTTAAAGTGATGATCACTGTAACAGCAATCGTTTGAACTTTCTTCACTGCTTTTATTCATGACTCATTGTTTACTATTGCAATGCTGTGATTGGTCCACAGCTATCACATGGTACAGGTTGCTGTGATTGCCCAGGTACCATGTGATCACTGGAAACTAATCACAGATCACGCACGGTATTAAACAATTATTGTTTACTATGTGACATGTGACCGGACAGAGATCACGTGGTATCTGGGTCCACTAACATCAGACACAGCACGGGTTTCCCAGGTACCAGGGCCCCTGATGGTGGGGATGGACTTGGTGCAAGACTGGAACCAGTCGCGCCCCTGCTGCACCCCCGCAGGTGCCAGGGGGGTGGACAGTGTGCATGAGCTCAGCAACATCCGACGGGTACATCACAGATCCCGATCCGAGCGGGAGGATGGGTGACAGCTAGGAGCAGCGAGGTCAGACTAGCAGCGTGTACAAAGTACTGGAGGATGGCAGGGACGAGCCGGCAAGCAGGAGAGGGTCAGCATAGGTCAGAACAGTAGATTTGGCAACTAGTGCGGCAGGTTCAGGAACAAGACCTTGGCAACCACAGGGCAGCTTTAAATAGAGCGCCCTGCTCTCCCATTGGTGCGATATCGCTACTGCGCATGCGCGCAGTCGGCCGGCAGGATCGGCCGTCTGCGCATGCGCGCACGCCGAGGACCCGTGATCCCTGACACTGAGGGCCAACCACAATCACAGTGAGCTCTGCAACATACGGGTACAGTTGGCAACCAGCCACAGTAGATATACTGCGGCAGGGCGGCACCGCTGAGCAAAATCACATGTATACAGTATATACGTGATTTTGCATTTCGGGTAGGGGGCACGCGTCCACCCTACCTGCGCCGCCGATCGCGGCTGCGGGTGTCAATCACTGGGTCCCGGCCAGTGATTACCCGCCAGAGCCCGGCGATTGCTGGCAAACACTGACAGGGAGGATGGCTGCATTCTTTACAGTGCAGCTCTCCTCCCTGTCAGTTTGGGCACACTGATCCGGATGGATGAGCTCAGCCTTCTGGATCAGTGTGCTTACAGTGAAGCACACAACCCCCCCCCCTAGTGAAACACTCTTCTCACACAGTTAACCCTTTGATTGCCTTCTAATGTTAACCCCTTCCTCCCCAGTGTCATTAGTACAGTGTCAATGTTTTTTTTTTTATTTTTGCACCGATCACTGTATTGGTATCACTGGGGATGTCAGTGGCCCCAAGTCAGTTCCCCCCAGTGTCAGAATGACCGCCACAGTCCCGCCATAAGTCGCTGATCGCCGCCATAAGTCACTGATCGCCACCTTTATTAGTAGATAAATAAATTTTCCAGTGTATATATAAAGCCATTTGTAAACGCTTTAACTTTCACGTAAACCAATTAATTTAAACGTATTTGGATTTTTTTTTAGCGAAGACATGTCGCAGAATACATTTTTCCCTAAATTTATGACGAAATTTGATTTTTTACATTTTTTTACTGGACATGTTTTATAGCAAAAAGTCCAAAATATTGTTTTTTTTCTCAAAATTGTCAGTCTTTTTTTTATATAGCGCAAAAAATAAAAAGCGCACAGGCAATCAAATACCACTGAAATAAAGCTCAATTTGTGGGGGAAAAAGGGCGTAAATTTCGTTTTGGTGCAGCGTTTCATGACCGCGCAACTGTCAGTTAAAGTAACACAAACCGCTTCTGTAACAGCTTCCTGACCACAGTATAGCAGAAATACTGCTACAGGGTGGCACACGTGTGCAAAATCACTAATTATATATATATATATATACATACATACATTATTCACGCTCCTGTGGTTTTCACGCCCCTCCCAGATAGCATCAGATTGACCATCAGTACACCAGTAATCACATTTAACCACTTGATTGCCAGGAACACGCTTGTACACAATAAATCTCCATTGCTAGTATAGTGTCTGAACGGCCTGGTACATCCTGGTCTTTCACATACCAGCACTGCAGTATCACTTGGTGACGTGGCAAATCCCATAAGTGCAATACAATCTGGTGCGGTGACGAGCACAAGTATTCTCCTGCAACCACCAAGAATTTGCACACAGACTCGTAGAGCCCATAGTATCCTTCCAGATGTGCTTGCAAATCCCGATTGGCAGCCCGCAAATTCTGCAGCACCCTTACTTCCCCCATTCACTGCCCAACCCAGAATTCAGGTGGAAACAGCAAATTTAACTACTCCCCTTGATTTTTTGGAGCTGTTTTTCACAGAATATCTGTATGCATTGATTGTGGATCAAAGCAATTTATATGTACAACAATTTATCGCCGCCAACCCAAATTCAAACCTTGCCAGACCATTCGCATGGAAACCCATTATGGTTTCCGAATTCACATTTTTTGGGGGCCTAACCCTCAACATGGGCATTACTAAAAAAAAATGAATTGCGGTTGTATTGGTCCACAGACCCGACTCATCATATGCCCGTGTTCTCTGCTGCCATGGCCAGATGAGAGTATAATGTGTTTTATGCATTTCAACGACAATACTGTTTTGGACTAGGTCACTTACAGACCATTTACCGTGATCTACCAGTGAGCCAAATTAATATGAGAATACGTGCACGTGGAAGTAAGACACTGACACTGTTGCAGTTTGTCAACTTCCTAAAATTCTGTTTTATTGAGGAACTAACAGTATCATTTATAGGGCATATGATGCAGGCAAAGCATATACATTGATTGGGTGAAAAGTCCACTGGGTTTCTGCGTGTTCTTCCATCCGTGTTGATATCTTCCAATCATTGTCCCCAAAGAGACTCATTCCCTTTTATGGGGGTTGTTTACATTAAAAGATACTTTTCTCCTAATGAGTCACCAAGGGCGAGACTCCGGATGAAGGCGCCATCTTAATTATCATCATTGTTCTGTCAACCTATATCTGATTGTTTACTTAAGAGAGTAAGGAATTTTTTTAAAGAGCAAGAAACATAAAGTAGCAAGACTATAAAATTGTCATTTTACTGATCATCTAATAAAACGTGGACTGTCTATCACAATCCACTACAATCCCCCCTTAAAAATGGCTATTTTATTCCTGACTGTCCCTATGTCTTCTGATGTCCTAACTGCCTGGTGGCCCTCCCCCTGGAAACTCTTTTAAGACGCATATAGAGCCCCTGAGTGGCTAATCCATCCCTAGAGTCTCGATACGTCCTGAGAAGGCCACAGTCAGGCACTGTCTTTCCCTGCTTATAGTTGTCTGTTAGGGGGGGGGAAATTTCTAGCATTCCCTTTTTTTTATAAATCTGAAATATGATGATACGGGGCCATGGTCTGTAAGGGAGTATAGGATTCCCTTTCTTCACGGGGAGTTCAACATTGTTATAGTTCAGGAATGTAGGGGAGATCTCATTCACAGCTTTCCCTATTAGCCTCTTAATGCAAGGGATCACACAGCAGGCGACTATTGCCATTAGAATGATAATACCCAGGATAACCACCCCTGCTTGGGCGAGGGCTTTCTGCCAGCCACTCAGCCATCCAAACCACTGATCCCAGGGATGTGTAATACCAGAGTTTTCCTTAAGTTCATTTGACAGGTCCTCCAACCTCTTGATGGCCAGTGTCACCTTCCCATTTGGGCCTGTGTTATCTGGGATATACGTACAGCAGGTCATGGTCTTTGGTATCATTTTACAGACCCCCCCCTTTTTCAGCTAATAACATATCGGGTGTCATACGTTTTTTAAAAAACCATGTTAGAAGTAGCCTCCAACTGCTCTGCTATCCCCTTTAGTGCATCTCGTGTATAATTTACTAACCGTTGTTGATTATAGTAAATGTAATGTATCCAATCTACATTCTTGTTCTCAGTGATGAAGAGGAATAGGGATTCAAATCCTGCGGCCACCTGGTCTCTGGCCTTGAATTCATTGGGTACCCCCCTTGGAACTCCTATTGCGTCTATATAGACATGGGAGTCAAAACTCCCTTGTGGGGCACTTCGTTTGTGCTTGGTTGCATGGGGGGGGGTTGGGCGGCCCCTTAAGTAATGGATCTGAGAGGATGTGCAATGGCATTATGGCATTGGCAAGGGTACATTCCCCTCTCCATTTCCCTATCAGTCGGGTCCTAATCTTCTGATCACCACAGATCCAGAATATATCCCCCAATGATATGACCTGGTTCTGGGTTAGATCTGACCGGGCTGTACTATAAGCAGCACAGAATCCCTTTGTGAAGTTCCCCAGGAACCTTCCTCCTCCCTCATCTCCTGGGCTGGGGTTCTCTATGGTCAGAGTAAGGGGGATGGCTACAGTGAATTGCTTGTTCATTTTTGTGGATCACCTATCTACCTTAGGGGTGGTAAGTGAGTGTCATTCGGGAAATTAGAGATTTTCCAAACCGGTCTCGTGTTCCATCCCACTGATCCCCAGTAGCCACAATCTGCTCCCCAATAATTATCTGCAATACATATATATATTGTGGAGGCAATGGGGACAGGTGTGTTCTTGCACAGGCTATGATTGAAGAAAAATGTTGCTACTTGTGTGCTGGATGAATTATACCAAAACTGGGTGGAGTCACCCTTGTGTGAGTGATGGCCACCTGTTGGCCCCCCCATTTCCACCAAAAAAGGATACGCAACACAATCATTGTGGTGTGGGTGACACGGACAGGGCCTCGTCCTCTGGAGCTGGAACCTCCTTGCAATGTGAGGCGTGTATCCAAGTGGACTTTCCCTCCAACTTCACTGAAGTGGCAGTCACCAGGAGCACCTGGAAAGGACCGTCATATCTGGGTTCCAATGTATGTTTTCGCAGAAACTTTTTGACCAAGACCCAGTCTCCAGGTTGTGAAGTGTGTGTTCCTATGTCCGCCTCAGGATCTGGAATGGAGAAGAATACTTGCACATGGATATTAGTCAACACACGTGTCAAAGATATCACATACTTTGTCAATGAGTCAGACTGCAATTGTAATTGTTGAGGATAGTAGGTACCCAGTCTAGGGGCGGACCCAACAAAATTCTCATAGGGAGAACAACCCATGACTTCCCATTGGTGTGTATCTAACGCTGAAAAGAGCAATAGGCAAGCTGTCCGGCCATCCCATGCCTACCTCTTGGGTTCATTTTAACATTCTTGACTTCAGGACCCCATTTAGGGCGCTCTGCCTTCCCACTACTCTGGGGATGATGGGGTGTGTGAAACACAAGTGTGACCCCCAGAGCCCCCCAGATCTCTTTTGTGACATTGGCAGTAAAAGCCGGGTCCCCATGATCGCTTTCAACCACCTCGGGCACTCCATATCTGCAGACTATCTCCGTGAGCAGCTTCTTGGCAGTGGTTCTTGCCGTCTGCTTGGTTACTGCGAATGCCTCTGGCCATCCTGAGAACATATCCACTACCACTAGGGCATATTCAAATCATCCACTTTTTGGCATCTGGATATGATCTATCTGGATCCTCTGAAATGGATATAGTGCCCTGGCCAGATGTTTGCTTGGAGGTTTCTCAGGTCTTCCAGGATTGCACTTGGCACATACAACACAAGACTTACAGAATCTGTCTGTGTAAGCCATAATTCCGGGTGCCACGTAGTACTTATTGATCAAAGAGTTCATTAGCATCTTGGACAGGTGTGACGCCCCATGTGCCCACTGCACTGTTGCCGGATATAAGGATCTGGGAAGCAAAACCTTCTTCCCCAACCACCCACAATCCTTTGTCCTCAACTGCTCCTTTCTGTATCCATTCCTTCCTTTCTTCTTCTGAAGCATTATCCTGGGCTTCCTGGAGTTGGGTGTCCTTGGGCTGATGAATTAGCACAGGCATCACCTCACTGCACATCTCTTCATCCTCTTCCTGCTCCCTGACCGCAGCTTGCTTAGCAGCCATGTCTGCCAGATGATTTCCTTTTGCTTCCATAGTGGTCAATTTACCGTGGCCTTCACCTTCAGTATGGCCACTTGGGCTGTAGTAAGAGTGCTTCCATAAAGCGGTTGATCACCTTTCCATGCTTTACAGGAGTCCCAGCTGCCGTGAGAAAACCCCTCATTTCCAGATTAGGCCAAAATCAAGTGCAACCCCCAGTGCATATCTGGACTCCGTGAAATGTTAGCTGTCTTTCCTTTTGTTAATTCACAGGCTTTGGTGAGGGCCCTTAGTTCAGCCTCTTGTGCAGACATAAAAGGTGGAAGAGGTCTAGCTTGCAGTACCATTGTGTCGGTAGTCACAGCATATCCAGTGTGGTAGGTGCCAGCATTATCTGCAAAGCGGGATCCGTCCACAAAG